AACAGCACTCAGAAAGCTGAAGCAGGCAGATCTCTGTGAAACTCACATAGTGAGTTTCAGGTCATCTGTGACTACATGGAGACCCTGTCTTAAAAAGACACCCTCCCCAAAGAAACTAAAAGATGTATAAATGTCACATTTTCATATATGTATTATCACTCTGAATGAGAGTTGACATAGGGTAAGTCTGAAGGAAAGAACAATATTTTGTTAAAGAAACACTGATTACTATAATATTTTGCAAGCATAGAATATGATTAGAATTAAATTCAGGGGCTGGAGAGATGGCTCAGTGGTTAAGAGCACTGGCTGCTCTTTCAGAGGACCCAGGTTCAGTTCCCAGCACTGGCATGGCGGCTAACAACCATCTGTAACTCCAGTTCCAGAAGATCCAATGCCCTCTTTTGGCCTCTGTGGGCATTGTACAACACAGATGCACTTATATAATGCAGGCAACACACTCATACACTTAAAATAATTAAATTCAGTTGCAAATTAATCCAGATTTCAAAAGATAAATAAATAGTGCTGTTTTTAATTTAGCTGGAGGAGTCATAAACAGATAAAATTTGAAGACTTCAAAGGATTCTTTGCAGTTAAAAAGATATTTTTGAACAGTATTAGCTTAAATGATTCAACAGAAAATAAAGTGGAAAAAATATGCCAAATAAGTACTTATTTGGACAAGGTAATTTACATATTCTCATTAAATTGCCAAAATTAGCCCAGAGGTAAGAAAATGTGTTATTTTTATCCTGAGAGCAGCTGAGGTGTAGAAAGGCAAAGCAAGCACACAGACACACAAACTGTGTTCGCATCATCTGGAACCAGACTGTGGATATCCAGTCTGCTCAAATCGTCATGGAAGGTGAATTTTATGTTGGTATTCTTGTCATGTAAGGGAAGCGTCAATATTAACTTTGAATTTCAGGACCAGATGGTTAGCTAACCATGAATCAGCCAACAACATTGTTTGGTCATCTAAAATGGCCAAATAGGGATATTAGAACTCTGAAAGGGAAAAAAATTATTTTTGAGGATGGTAGTGAAAAAAAAAAAGGATCAAAAGTACACAATGTCTAGAAAACTGTGCATAAATGCAAACAAGAGTAAATCCAGAACTATTGTAAGCTACAAACACTAAGAGGTAAGAGGAGATGGCTGGTGTAGATGTGGACTAACAGTAGTTACATACATTAAATATGTTTGCTTTTAGATACTATGTTTTAAAGAATTCAGACAATCTGTAGGAACCCATTATGTGGTTGATACAGTGAACTGGGGATCATTTAATCACTACATGGACGTTGTTGAGTGGGTTCTAAGGAGTTTATCAGCTTTGCTAGTGATGAAACTGAAGCAGAAAGAGACCAAGCTTCTAAGCCAGGTTTTCGTAGTTGTCTAGTGGCAGAGGTGGCATTTGAACTGAGCAGTCACTGCCCACTTCACACTTTCTGTGTCACTGTGACCACTTTACCCCACCAAAGAGATAAAGGTTTTGATTTCTAACTATTTTTATTTTTTATTTGGGAGACAGGGTCTCACCATGTAGCCCCAGCTGGCCTGGAACTCACTAAGTAGACCATCCCAGGCTGACCTCCATCTTATAGAGATCTGCCTGCCTCTGCCTCATGAGTGCTAGGATTAAAGGTATCTGTCACCATGCCTAGCTCTGATTCCTAACTTCTGACAAATTTTGCATGTGAAGTCAGTTCTATGTGTTAAGGAAATCAGCTAATTAATTCCTTTTCAAAACTACATTTATTGAATAGCTACAATGTGTCATACAGTGCTGATGCTACCAATACAGCAGGGAATAGAACAGGGACTTTGGTACAGGTGCAACAACAAGACACTAAAATTCTAAGAGTATCATAATCTATTTTAATTGGAAAATAATACACATTTCCATCAACTGTAACAAAAGTGCTACCCTTAACAAATAACATCATTCTTCCAAAAATTCTATTAAGAGAGAAAATTCATGGAATTCCTATTTATGATTAGAGGAGCACTTCAAGTCCTGTTATATTCTGAACGAAACCTTATACTATGTATTTTTAGAGTAGCTACATTTTCATAAAATGGCAAGTCACTCTTGTCCACTTAGAGATAACTTACTTCCAGTGGTGGAAAGTGCCTGTCACACACATTGCTTAGGGTGATTGATCAAGCAGGCTCTTAATTAGTTATTGAGTGATATGTTACACTATGTGGGGAGTCTATCTAACACCCATTCAACATAAAAACAATTCAGTTATTAGTACCCTATCCCAATTCTCAGTGATTTGCCAAATTAAAACTGCTTTTATCTTTAGCTTAACTATGTTGTATTTTGCTAATTATAAAGGCCCACATCTAAAAGCCATCAGGTTACAACCCTTTAAAATGATTGAACACTAGAAACCTCATAAGGTAATTACACATTTTAAAGAGATGAGCAAAGCGCTTAAGAATTATTTTCATTTAGATAATATTGGGGTCTGCTGTTCATTTTCCCAGTTCTATGCTGGGTTACCATCTGGGAGTCCCTTTGGCCACCCTGGCCAACAACTCAAAAGAAGGTATCTCCTATCTGGCATTGTTGCTT